TTAGGTAGGGTTGGTTAGGTTCGGTCATATATTTACGTTAATTTTAACTGCAATAAAAAAAAATTGACCTCATACATAATGAAATGGGTAGCTTTCTCATTTCATAGGAAAAAAATTAGAGAAAATATATTAATTCAGGAAAACTTGGCTTATTAGGCAAATCGGGCCTTGCATAGTAGGCTGAGAAGTGCGTTCTGGCTACTAGGTACGACATATATATATATATATATATATATATATATATATATATATGTCGTACCTAATAGCCAGAACGCACTTCTCAGCCTACTATTCAAGGCCCGATTTGCCTAATAAGCCAAGTTTTCATGAATTAATGTTTTTTCGTCTACCTAACCTACCTAACCTAACCTAACCTAGCTTTTTTTGGCTACCTAACCTGACCTTACCTATAAATATAGGTTAGGTTAGGTTAGGTAGGGTTGGTTAGGTTCGGTCATATATCTACGTTAATTTTAACTCCAATAAAAAAAAATTGACCTCATACATAGAGAAAAGGGTTGCTTTATCATTTCATAAGAAAAAAATTATAGTAAATATATTAATTCAGGAAAACTTGGCTTATTAGGCAAATCGGGCCTTGAATAGTAGGCTGAGAAGTGAGTTCTGGCTACTAGGTACGACATATATATATATATATATATATATATATATATATATATATATATATATATATATATATATATATATATATATATATATATATATATATATATATATATATATATATATATATATATATATATATATATATATATGTCGTACCTAGTAGCCAGAACTCACTTCTCAGCCTACTATGCAAGGCCCGATTTGCCTAATAAGCCTAGTTTTCATGAATTAATGTTTTTTCGACTACCTAACCTACCTAACCTAACCTAACCTAACGTTTTCGGCTACCTAACCTAACCTAACCTATAAAGATAGGTTAGGTTAGGTTAGGTAGGGTTGGTTAGGTTCGGTCATATATCTACGTTAACTTTAACTCCAATAAAAAAAAATTTACCTCATACATAATGAAATGGGTAGCTTTATCATTTCATAAGAAAAAAATTAGAGAAAATATATTAATTCAGTAAAACTTGGCTTATTAGGCAAATCGGGCCTTGCATAGTAGGCTGAGAAGTGAGTTCTGGCTACTAGGTACGACATATATATATATATATATATATATATATATATATATATATATATATATATATATATATATGTCGTACCTAGTAGCCAGAACGCACTTGTCAGCCTACTATGCAAGGCCTGATTTGCCTAATAAGCCAAGTTTTCATGAATTAATTGTTTTTCGACTACCTAACCTACCTAACCTAACCTAACCTAACTTTTTCGGCTACCTAACCTAACCAATAAAGATAGGTTAGGTTAGGTTAGGTAGGGTTGGTTAGGTTCGGTCATATATCTAAGTTAATTTTAACTCCAATAAAAAAAATTGACCTCATACATAATGAAATGGGTAGCTTTATCATTTCATAAGAAAACAATTATAGAAAATATATTAATTCAGGATAACTTGGCTTATTAGGCAAATCGGGCCTTGCATAGTAGGCTGAGAAGTGCAGTCTGGCTACTAGGTACGACATATATATATATATATATATATATATATATATATATATATATATATATATATATATATATATATATATATATATATATATATATATATATATATATATGTCGTACCTAGTAGCCAGAACTCACTTCTCAGCCTACTATGCAAGGCCCGATTTGCCTAATAAGCCAGGTTTTACTGAATTAATATATTTTCTCTAATTTTTTTCTTATGAAATGATAAAGCTACCCATTTCATTATGTATGAGGTCAATTTTTTTTTATTGGAGTTAAAGTTAACGTAGATATATGACCGAACCTAACCAACCTTACCTAACCTAACCTAACCTATCTTTATAGGTTAGGTTAGGTTAGGTTAGGTAGGTTAGGTGGTCGAAAAAACATTAATTCATGAAAACTAGGCTTATTAGGCAAATCGGGCCTTGTATAGTAGGCTGAGAAGTGAGCTCTGGCTACTAGGTACGACATATATATATATATATATATATATATATATATATATATATATATATATATATATATGTCGTACCTAGTAGCCAGAACTCACTTCTCAGCCTACAATGCAAGGCCCGATTTGCCTAATAAGCCAAGTTTTCCTGAATTAATATATTTTCTCTAATTTTTTTCTTATGAAATGATAAAGCTACCCATTTCATTATGTATGAGGTCAATTTTTTTTATTGGAGTTAAAATTAACGTAGTTATATGACTGAACCTAACCAACCCTACCTAACCTAACCTAACCTATCTTTATAGGTTAGGTTTGGTTAGGTAGCCGAAAAAGTTAGGTTAGGTTAGGTTAGGTAAGTTAGGTAGTCGAAAAACAAATAATTCATGAAAACTTGGCTTATTAGGCAAATTTGGCCTTGCATAGTAGGCTGAGAAGTGCGTTCTGGCTACTAGGTACGACATATATATATATATATATATGTCATACCTAGTAGCCAGAACGCACTTCTCAGCCTACTATACAAGGCCCGATTTGCCTAATAAGCCAAATTTTACTGAATTAATATATTTTCTCTAAGTTTTTTCTTATGAAATGATAAAGCTACCCATTTCATTATGTATGAGGTCAATTTTTTTTTATTGGAGTTAAAATTAACGTAGATATATGACCGAACCTAACCAACCCTACCTAACCTAACCTAACCTATCCTTATAGGTTAGGTTAGGTTACGTAGCCGAAAAAGTTAGGTTAGGTTGTAACGCGGGTTAGGTTTCCTCTCTCTTTACTTCTCTTCCTTCTACTCCCTCTACCCGTATTCTTACTTTTTATTCTCTACCAAGGGACTCCAAAACTTTTACCAAAGCCAACTCCACGCCACGTGGTCCTAAGACGATTGACCGACTTAGGATTCTACACCCAGTATGACGTGACCTAAGCTCTGATCAAAACCCTAGAGTCGCCTCTGCTGCCACCACCAGACCAGCTCTACAGAGCAATGATCGAGGTCTGGATCGATCACGCTAATTAATCAACCTTGGGGCTTGATCCCCACTAGTAGTTTATAACCTCGGAAACTTGAGTGTGGAATTAATTAGATGGGGATGATGAATTCCGAGCCGATGTTAGAATCGGCGCCCAATGCAACTCTGCCTCGTGTGGACCACGTGACCAGGACAAGTTTACACATAACCAAATGGAAACAATAAAATGCAAATTAATAACAAAATTAATTTATTAAAAGAAAACTAAAACAAAATCTAAATGTGTTCACTCCCTATCACTTTAACACTCCCTACTTGACCTGAATGGCAAATGAGAAGACTATTTCTATACATAACCATAGCAACTATACCTCTATGTTTTCCAGCTAAGATGTTGTGCTGGTCTTGGGGAGAGGTAAGATGGTTGACCTCTCCCAGCTGCTCCCGTATTCACACTGATCTCTCTCTTGTCTGGTCTACCCCAGACTAGAACATTGTATTGTTCCGCATCGCTTACCCAGTTACTAGCAAGGTTTAAGTTATAACAATTAACCTCTGTTTGTACTGAATTGATCCAGACTGGTTGAATTATTTTACTTTAATTAGATTACACAAACATCTAACGGCAAAGCTGTTCCCGATCACAAAAATGGTTATTAAAACTTTGAGAAATATTAGACATGTCAACCCTGCTGACCTATGACCGCCGGTCACTCCGCCTTAAAAGTTAGATCCGATTCGTGACGTCACTGATGGTGACTTAACTCAATAATTAGAATACTCTTGATATTGTATCCAGTACTATTATACAATACAATTTTAATGCAAAATGAATAAAGGCTAATTTTCTCTAAATTACTGAATACTATAGGATGATTCATTATACGCAGCTATGAACAAAGCGTTGGTTATTTCCACCGCGAATTCCCCTGGGGGTCAGGTCACCATGCGGCTCAGCTTCCCATTCTCTTTTGTCGATAAACCACTCTGGATAATTCTTACAACAGCCTAGTTTGTTACAAGGTTAGGTTAGGTAGGTTAGGTAGTCGAAAAAACATTAATTCATGAAAACTTGGCTTATTAGGCAAATCGGGCTTTGCATAGTAGGCTGAGAAGTGCGTTCTGGCTACTAGGTACGACATATATATATATATATATATATATATATATATATATATATATATATATATATATATATATATATATATATATATATATATATATATTTAAGAGTTATTTCCAATGTGTTTGTATACATTGCATGTATATACACACCTGTGTACATACGTGTATTCATGGGTGTATTAGAGGCAAGAATTAACGTGTCTTTGTAAATTAGGACCATATTGATATACAAGTATTTTCAAATGACTGTATTGTATTGAAGTATACTTTGAAGTATATACTTTTTTACATATACTTTGCCTGTGTATATGTATATATGTATGGGATGTATTAAAGTGCATGGGGTTTACCCTTCTTAAATTTACTAAATTTAAATTTACCCTTGTGGAGTTTACCCAAGTGGGTGTTTACTTTAATAAGGTTTACCCCTAGTGGTGTTTACCCTAATTCAAATTTATCCTAGTTGAGTATAACTAAGTTGGGTTGTCTAAGTGGGTTTACCTTAAATGATTACCCTAGAGGAGTTACCTCCAGCTGGGTTACCCTAGTGGGTTTACCCAAATGAAGTTTACCTTACTAGTTTTACCCTAGTTGGTTTATGCTAATTAGGTTACCCCTAATGATTTTTGTATTGTTGGATTTACCATAGTGGTTTACATTTGTGGGATTTAGCTTAGAGGAGTTACCTTAGTTGGATTTACCTTAGTGGGTTTTCCTTAGTTCTATTTACCCTAGTTTCTTTACCTTAGTTGGGATACCTTAGTTTATTTACATTAGTTGAGTTATCCTAGTTTATTTACCCTAGTGGGTTTACCTTCTTTGGGTTTACCTAGTGGGTTTACCTTGGTGCCAGCTACAACGATGAGAGTGGAGAGAAGGAGCAATGCCACTGCCAGCAGATCAGGATGGGGGGCCAAGTACCGGCACTCCTGCAGTAGCGGGAGTCTGGCTTGGAGTGCCTCGCTGACCCATCTCTCTGTGACCAGGCCCACGTACTCGCTGCTCCCCCTGGCGGCTGTGGGGAGAGGGGGGAAGGTGGTGTGAGCTGGGGGAGTGGGTCTAGAGGGGTGAGGTGGGGGGAAGGTGGGGTTAGCAGAGGGAAGAGGTTTTAGTGGGGTGAGGTGAGGGAGAGGTGGTAGGGGTAAACCTGACTAGAACCTGCTGTTTTGGTTATGGCGATGGTCGGTCTCTGGCTTCAGGTTTACACACTTGGGATTCGACATGCCTCCATCCCAAGGGTTAGGTTAGTTGTTGTTAGTCCATGCCTTGTTGACCGGTCTAACCTAACCTAACCTGACCAAACCTATCCTATCCAAACCTATCATAATCTAACTAGCCTTTCCTCATTTGAAGACTGTCCTCGTCACCTACCAGATGCACTGCCTACTTATCCCCAATCCAGAAACTGTAAGTGGATATTGATTGGTAAAACTGTAGGATCTACTATTAGGACCTGAATCTTACTATTAAATAATTAAGTTTAAGGCGATGAGTCACAATAACGTGGATGAAGATATGATCTTCTTGAGTTTATCTTGGGATTATTTCGGGGCTTAGCGTCCCCGCGGCCCAGTCCTCGACTAGGCCTCTTTTTTGTTACACACCCTCAAGAAGCAGCCCGTAGCAGCTGTCTAACTCCATGGTACTTATTTACTGCTAGGTAAAAGGGGCATTAGGGTGGAAGAATCATTTTGCCCATTTGTCTCCACCTCCACCGGGGATCGAACCTGGAACCTCAGGACTACGAATCAGAAGCGCTGTCCACCCAGCTGTCAGGTGCCCTGACTATGAACAAACTACACACACCAGACGATGAAAACATAATGGCATATCGGTCCGTCCTGGTTCATTATGAAGCCGATTGTGGCTTGATAATGGCGTTCTGATTGGTCAACAGGAACACGGCTCATATTATTTGAATATTAAGATCTACTTCCAGAACATTAAGACTTCCTTCCATAACCTTCCAGATGGTGCTGGAAGGAAATTTCCTTTCAGAATGTTAGGATCAACTTTCAGAAATTTTCAGATCTACAGTCAGATACATTTTATGTGCTTCCAGGACCTTAACCCTTGTGTTGCTAAGGGCTATTTGGCCATTGTCACCCACAGGCGCATAACAAAAAAAAATTATATATATATATTTTTTCTTCTAAACCTGTTAATTTGTGTTCTCTGATCATGGGAAAAATGATAAAAATATCGTAAGTAGGATATTTTGCCCACTATAGAGTGGGAAAGTCTGGCAAAAAACAGGTGCTGACTCATCATGCGCCCCATACGTTCTGCTCCGCACCACCTGTCAGGCAAGAGTGGCCACAAAGAGATAATTACCTAATTATTTCAATGTCTCTGATTGATGTTTATTCGATTTTTTGCTGTAATATTATTCATTAGTGTGTAGTGTGATATATTTATATAATAAAATGTGTGAATCATCACTGTACTCAAAATTATAGTGTGCATATTGTTGATTCAATTATTATGTTCATCAGACAGTGAGCAAATACTTTGTCGGTTATTACACTATATACACAGGTTATATATATAAGTATATGCATGTTTTGTTCACCATAACGAACCACTAAGTTGGTATTATGAGACAAAAAGCAACGAGGAGTGACCGCAACACACCAGCCAGCCACTCGCTGCCACTCACTCCCTCAACACCTCACTCGCTCACATTCTCCTCCCACCATACTGTTTTTGTTTTTATTCACTATATACAGATGTCATGTAAAAGTATCTACATGTTTTGTTCACCACAACTGTACAACTAAGCTGATACAGTTAGTTCAGGCACTAGGAGACATCGCTACACACAGTCAGCTGGCGGCTGCCTCCCTCACACACATTCAAGGTCAGATGCACTAAAATTTCTCACCCAACAATACTGTTTGTGGTGTTATTACCCTATATACACACATTATATATAAGTATTTACATGTTTTGTTCATCATAACTGTTCTACTAAGCCGGTATAGTGCCCAAAGAGCATAGTGGCCACCCCTACCCAGCATGATAAATCATGCAGATGTCGCCACCTCCCTCACCAAAATGGCTTCTCCCCCATACTCCTTTTGCTGTTATTATACACTATATACACGTTATATATAATTATCAACATTTGTGTTCACCATAACGAACCACTAAGTTGGTATGCTGAGTGGCAGTGACAGCCAGTGGCAGCCTGCCACTGGCTGTCACTCGCTGCCTCCTTCACCTCACCTTACTTGCCACCATTCTCCTCCCACCATACTGCTTTTTCTTTTATTCAGTATATACAGACGTTATATATAAGTATCTGCGTGTTTTGTTCACCATAGCGAACAACTAAGCTGGTATAGTGAGTCCAGACAGCAAAAGGTGGTCACACAGAGTCAGCAGATAATGCTACCTCCCTCCCCACCAAGAATACTCCTCCCACTACAGTATCCCACTTCTGAACCCAGTGTATCTGCTGGCAGTTTAAATCTTGTGTAGTACTCCATCGAGTCATATGACACGATGCGCAATTTATTGCAAGTGACTCAACCCTGCATATGACATGTTGCGCAGTTTAAGGGTTAAGAGATATTTCCAAAACCTTAAATTCTCCTTCTAGAACCTTAGAATATACCAAATGAATTTGTTGAAATGCTACCAGAATTAACAAAGATACCACCAGAACCAGGTGATATACAACCAGATCTAGTTGATATATACCCTGAATTTGATATACTACTAGAACTTGCTATCATATTACCAGAACCAGCTGATGTATTATCAGAACTAGTTGTTGTATTATCAGAGGTAACTGATATACTACCGTAACTAGCTGAGATGCTACCAGAGCGCTCTGTTGTATTACCATAACCAGCTGATATACTAACATAATTAGCTGATATATTGTGAGAAACTAGCTGTAATACTACCAGAACTGACAAATAAACTTAAAGAACTAGCAGATATACTGCCAAAACTAGCAGATATACTACTAGAACTAGCTGATATACTACTAGAGCAAGCAGATATACTATTAGAACTAGCTGGTATACTACCAGAGCTAGCAGATATACTACCTGAACTAGCAGATATACTACTAGAACTAGCAGATATACTACCAGAGCTAGCAGATATACTACCAGAGCTAGCAGATATACTATTAGAACTAGCTGGTATACTACCAGAGCTAGCAGATATACTACCAGAAGAAGCAGATATACTACTAGAACTAGCTGATATACTACCAGAGCTAGCAGATATACTACCAGAGCTTGCAGATATACTACCAAAACAAGGAGATATACTACTAGAACTAGCTTATATACTACCAGAGCTAGCAGATATACTACCAGAGCTAGCAGATATACTACCAGAGCTAGCAGATATACTACCAGAACAAGCAGATATACTACCAGAGCTAGCAGATATACTACCAGAACAAGCAGATATACTACCAGAGCTAGCAGATATACTACCAGAACAAGCAGATATACTACCAGAGCTAGCAGATATACTACCAGAACAAGCAGATATACTACCAGAGCTAGCAGATATACTACCAGAACAAGCAGATATACTACTAGAACTAGCTGACATACTACCAGAGCTTGTTGGAAATTTCCAACACTAATAAACTACTATTGTATTATAATAAATCATTATCATTATATACTAACTACAGTAGTTACTAAATTTACTAATGGTAGTGTCAACATAAACTAACCATAGCATCTGCGTATATCTGCTAGTTCTGATGTCATGGCAAGCACTGCTCGCCATGACAATTGAATGATACAATGCTCCACCTCGTTAATTCGAGTTCAATATAACTCACCCTGAGTTAGTGTAACAATTGAGCCCTCTAATGTTCCTCCATGCTAATACGAGCACTGCTCGCCATGATAATTGAACGCTACAATGCTCCCTGCGCTAATTCGAGCACTGCTCACCAGAGAATCTGCCTAGATTCCGTGCTTAGCTATTCTTCAACAAGGATCTTGCACTAATAACCCGAGTTGATCTTACAGCTCACCTGTGAATTAACGTAATAATTGAGTGCTTTATTGTTCCCCATGCGAATACGAGCTCAATATTGCTCGCCATGATAATTGAACGCTACAATACTCCACCTCGTTGGTTCGAGCTCAATATAGCTCACCCTGTTAGTTCGAGCTCAATATAGCTCACCATGTTAACGAGCTAAATATAGCTCACTCTGTTAACTGTTAACGAGCTCAATATAGCTCATCATGTTAACGAGCTCAATATAGCTCAATCTGTTCATGAGCTCAATACAGCTCCCAATGTTAATTTGAGTACATTACGGCTCACAATTTAGCTAGAGTAACTCCACTAAGAATTAGTGAGTTATCACAATTAGCTTAGTCCTCTACTCAGGTAGGTTAGAAATTTAAACCATTTATTTAGGTAGGTTTAGGGACTTTAGTTAGTGTCAACTGAGTACTAGCCTAGTCTGTACTCACAATTAATTACAGTTGACTATACTTAAAGAGACTGATTTAATAAACTCAGTTTTCATCTAAAGGTTGAAGATGTATTAATGAGTTTACAATGTCAAGCCTATGAGCTGCAATTCAATTAGCTCATGAGTCAGAATGACTAGGCTACTAATCTCACTGTCGACTCAGAATCTTCCTTGATTTTAATGAATAAACCTTTTCAGTTCTCTAATATTACACTATTTTAGCTAGTTAGTAACTTAGTTATACCATCAGTCAGAATGACTACTGCACGGCAGTACATATTAAATTAAATTTCATCATTTGATTTTGGGGTGATCATGATGCTGCGTGATGTTATTGTCTAGTAACTCAATAGTTACAAGTCACAGCGACCCTAGACAGTGACCTTACTGTAGTGTCAGAGTCTCCTTGATCTTGAATGACCCACTAATACTTTACTGTATAATAATGTAGAATACAACTTATACAATAATGTTATCAGTTCTTAGGAACTTTTTCTGAGTTTGCCTATAATTCAGCTACTACGTAATACACATTTACATGTCAC